ATGTGTGGCAGCTGATTGCACTCTCTTCTGAGCACCACCCAGGAGAAAAGCAGGCTCTCCTGCATACACACAGGGCACCAGAGTGCCACATTCCCAAAGCTTTTGTACACAGCTCCTCCACACACAAAGCCAGGAGACTCCATCCCAGCGTAGAGGACGCGCTGCAGGAAGAGAGGCAGGGTCTAGAATAAGGCACCACGTACGTGCTTTTGGTAAGATCAACCACTCCAAGTTTTTTGTCAGCTCCTCAAGCAGCATATTTCTTACATCTGGCATGCAAAATACTGTAATAGTGAAGAACGTCCCATTTTGATTTAAATGAATGCATTTATTTCCAAATGGGAGACCGTAAGTTAAACAAACACATTTCTCTCTTTGCACATGAAAGCATTGTTTTGTCACAGATGTACAGTATAATACATTTATTTTCTCAATTGTTTTGTATTTGTAAGGCACTGCCAGTTATTTGGATGGGTTTGTAAGGATGAAGCAAATTGCTCTGTGGGGCTCTATTCAGGGAACATAATATTCCCACAAAAGCACCATAATTCTGCATGCAGCAACACAAACTGCCACCACATTGCAGCAGCTGGCAGGGTGGATAGAGTTAGCATTATCAAAACCAGCATGACAACTCCCCTCCAAAACCCCCTTACATGCATAAATTAATGATGAATGTACATTGATTAGCCCCCACCCAGACTCCAAGGAACCCTGCCTTCCCTGCAATATAACTTGGAACCTCACCACAGTTAGTTTGGCCATTCACAAGGCCTGGGGAGCACTTCAGCTTGTACTTGAATTGCACTGGCCTTGCCCAACCCCCTTGAGCCCCACTTGAATATGTTCACTGGGAAGATTAGGGACTGTGGAACAGCCCCCGAGCCACGGGCAAGAGCCAAGAACACAGAATATCATCAGCCACATGCCAGGAGGTGCATTTTGGGAGGTTTCCCACACAGAAAGCTGAGAGGAAGAAGATCCTGACAGGGACTCTGTCTTTGTTCTAGAAGTTAGATATAAATTCAGCTGCACCTGTCCTTCTGACCAACTGCCTCCCTGCTCCAGGCAAAACAACCTGTCACAGAAACACTTCACAAGACTTTGTTTTTCATCACAACTATAACAAGCTGGAAGTATGCACAGGCTCAGTGGACATTGCTGCCCTCAAACTCTCAGGGTTTTCCATCCATTTGCCAGCTTCCTCCACAGCTCTGTCAAACCAGTTCCCACCTGGCACACTCTGGTTTCCTGAAACTTGACCAGAAAGCTCTTCCTATCCATTTCTAAGTCCTTCTGGTTACACAAAAAAGGGTTTAAAAAAAAAAAGGAAAGAAAATCTGTGTTCTTAATGCAGGCTGACTAACCCATGTTAGCTAACCCAGGTTAAAGCAGTGAAGAGCAGACAGCTTGTCCTGGAGGCTCAAGCAGAACATAACAAGGTAATTCACATTCCAAGTCAGCTTGTCTTGTGTGATATTGAATTTGAGTGCAATGCCTTTAGCATGCATAGGTAGATAGGTAGGCTTGTACTGAGTATATAAGACAATAATAATGATACACAGGCAGAGTGAATACCTAGATCTGATAGGAAAGCCTCCTGTTCTACTGCTATCTCTCTAAAATATTGCTGCAGTTTCCTATCAGGTGACTTGACCTTTAAATGCACATCTTCACTTTGTGATTAGTTTCTGTGGGTCATCTATGGAGCTGCTTAAGCCAGGCTTCACCTTGCATACCAATGACTCCTCTCAGCCTAGGAATATGGTCTTGGGTGCTGCTTCTGTTACCATACCCAAACTCAGCTTGAGAAAACCTTGCACAGCCTAGTTTATATGAGCAGGTGCACTGAAATTCAGCAAGAGAGGAAAATCTGTGTCAGCAGGAATATCAAGAGAGGAGCAGTGCAAGGAGGCCTTAAAGAAACAACCACCCCTTGCTTTATACACGTTGTCTCCTACAGACATGAGAGCTGGAACTTCCATGAAGAGGTCTAACAGGGATTGAGACACTAACTTAAAGGTCTAGTCTCTAATGGAATCCTTTTTCCAGCTATAGAGAAGTTGTTTGGGATCCCATTGCTCCTTTAAGCCCATCTTTCCATCACCTCTTTGTATGCAGCATCATTTAGCAGCTTGTCTTCAAGCAGTAACAGCTCATGACCTCAGAAAATTTACTACTTATAGCACTAACAGATAAAAATAAAAACAATGCAGAAGGGAATTTGGGCAGAAAAGAAATCTCAGCTTTCTAGATTTTTTTGCAGGATTGTTTTAGCTTTGATCAGTCAGCTCTACTGTGGAAGCCAGGGAAGAGCTGACTCAGTGAACACACTAAGTGGTGATTACACACAGCAACCTAATGACGGCAAGATGATGTTGTGGTCACTTGTGTACAACTGCTGAGCATCACTGGGAGAGACAAAAGAATAAGGAAGAGCCCTGCAATTTATTGCTGTGCTTCCTAATAGACCAGTAAAATTCCTGTTGGCAGAGTCCTGAGGGAGGTCTTGAACCTTTGCTGGAGCTGGTGGCCGGCAGAAAAAGGCAGTGTCAGATGAGTTCTCTAAGCTCTTTGCAAAGGTGAGCCAGACCATTATCCTTGTTTTGCACATCTCCATGTGATCAGCCCAAAGTGACTTAATCAAAATAGCCACCCCTCAAGATGTCCAGCCCATCTTTTCTGATTCCCAGGCTGTCATTCATCAAGCTGCAACAACAGATCCCTGGAAGACTACAGTCTCTGACCACTGAAACGGCAGTGAGCAAATCCCATAAAGAGCACGAGAGCCGGGATGATTTTCCTGCTGCTGGTTGTTACCTGAGAAACTTCTAGAGAGGCTGTTCTCACAAACAGGACAGGAAGGCAGTGCTGTTACAGAGTCCACTGCATGGGTGGGTTGATCTCACTGCCAGCCACAGCAAAGAGAATAATTACACAGAAACAACTCCATAGGAGAAGCAGATTATCTGTGCATTTGCTACCAAGGTGGATGAGGGTGTTGCAGAATCGTAGAACAGTTTGGGTTGGAAAAGACCTCAAAGACCATCTAGTTCCAAACCTCTGCCATAGGTAAGAACACCTTCCACTAGACGAGGTTGCTCCATGCCCTGTCCAACCTGGCCTTGAACACTTCCAGGGATGGGGCATCCACAGATGCAGAGTCTGTGAGACCCCCATGCCAGGGTCTCACCATCCCCACAGCAAAGAATCAGATCAATTAAAGGTGTTTACCAATTCAATTACACTTAGACACTGAGGAGCAACAGAAAAGAGGTAGATAGTGTGGCTGGCTGAGAGCATAAGGGCAGGTCAAACAGATTTAAAAAGAAGATTTGAATTATGAACTTCTCAGCCTAAGGCAGCAGTTGCAATGAAATACACCAGTATCACATGGCAACCAATACAGACTGAAAATGGGTCAGTTTTACAAAACACCTCCCCGTTTCCAAGTGGATCGTTAAGGAACAAAAAAAAAAGGGGGGAACTATTCACTGCAGTTACCACAGCTGACACTGTCTAGAGCTGAAGTCATTACATGACTTCATGTCTGAAAGGAACAAAAAGAAAACAGATCCCTTTTTTTGGAGCCCTGCGTTGAAACTGCCAGTCTGACTCCCAAAACAGGAGAAGCAGATTATCTGTGCATTTGCTAGCAAGGTGGATGAGGGTGCTGCAGAATCCTAGAATAGTTTAGGTTGGAAGACACCTCAAAGACCACTTAGTTCGAAACCTCTGCCATAGGTAAGAACACCTTCCACTAGACGAGGTTGCTCCATGCCCTGTCCAACCTGGCCTTGAACACTTCCAGGGATGGGGCATCCACAGATGCAGAGTCTGTGAGACCCCCATGCCAGGGTCTCACCATCCCCACAGCAAAGAATCAGAAGTGTTTACCAATTCATTTACACCTAGACACTGAGGAGGACAACAGAGAAGGGGCAGATGGTGTGGCTGGATCAGAGCACAAGAGCAGGTCAAAGAGATTTAAAAGAAGATTTGAAGTATGAACTTCTCAGCCTAAGGCAGCAGTTGCAACGAGATACACCAATATCACGTGGCAATCAATACAGATCGAAAATGTGTCAGCTTTACAAAACACCTCCCCGTTTCCAAGTGGATCATTAAGAAACGGGGAAAAAAGTGGAACTATTCACTGCAGTTAACACAGCTGGCACTGTCTAGAGCTGAAGTCATTACATGACTTCATGTCTGAGAGGAACGACTGGAAAAGGAAACAGGTCCCTGTGCGCGGGGCTGAGCCGCCGCTTCCCCGGGTGACCGCGAGGGGTCTCCCCCGCTCAATCCCACCGCGGGGAATCTTCTCCCTATCCCGATGGTTTGTCATCCCAATCCACCCCTGCCCCCGCCCCAGGACACCTAACCATCGTCCCCGAGCACCAGGCCACTAACACCTCACAGCTCCTCCCCAGGCTGAAACCGAGGGGTTGATGACACGTCTCTCTGTGGTTTTACAAGCGTGTAATCCCACACGCAACCATTCCCGGGCGAGCAGAACAGACAGAGCCCCAGCAATGAAGCCACAACCTGTCTGCATGGGCACAACATCTGTAGCTGCCTGAGACGTGCACACATCACGAGTGTGCCTCATGTTAGAGGCAAAGACATCGTTGCTTCTTGGAGGCTGCAAGCACCAGTGAGGCACCAGATTTCACGGTATGGATTGGAGCCTCACGACTCCAGGTGCAAGGACAACAAAGGGGAATGCCAGTGGTTACAAAACATGGGCTGTAAGTAACTGGTAGGTAATTATGGAGGGACGTGTCTGTGTGGCTCAGCTCCAACATCAACAGAGGGAAGAGCCTTGCCTATTGAGTCATCAGCAGCATTTCCTTCCAGCCCCTGGGTTTTCCGACAGGTCCCCTCTGAGTTGCTATCCCAACCCACAGTGGTTGAGCTCATAAAGGCTGCTGAGCTCACATCCCCAGGGAACAGGGCGCCAGTCCCCCACGGCCAGGAGAGGTTTCCTGGCCACAGCCATGCTTCAAGGACATGGTGCCTCACCAGCCTCTTTATTACAGCAACTGAACTGAATACCAACAACATTCCAGTTCCAGCCATCACAGAAGCTTTCAAGACACCCTGTCATAACCAGCCCTGTCATAGCCAAACAAGGGCTGCTGGAGTCACACAAGAGTTTTGGTGCCCCACCCCTTTGGTTATCCATGAGTCCCAAACTGTCCACAGCCCGATTGCCCCCATGTAGGAACTAGGTCAGCACTTCCTCTGCAGGATGAGAATTTGGCTAATGAGAGGTTGTTAAATGAGAGGAAGATGTTTCTTAATCAGGGACCAGATACCACCTAAAAACTGCAGAAGTGTGCCAGACCTTTGCATTATCACAAGGGGAGTGAATACACGGTGGGGCATTTTTACTGTACCTTCTTGGTTTGCAAGGCCACCTGAATTCTTCTACACTTTCTTCATTTCTGCTATTTAATATGGACTTTTCATTCATTTTCCAGTTTGTCCTACTCTTTCCTTCTGTTTTTCTTTTCTATTCTTTTCTCAGTTCCATGTTCTGTTTCTACTGCTGTCCCCAACCCTTCCAACAGAGCTGAACAGTGAAAACATACTGATCTGTCTGTTCCATATAGTTCCCACTGTAATTTTCTCTCAACAGATTTGTTACCTCATAAAAAAATCACTGAAGGGCTTCAATGACATGCAGGACCTTAGGACTCTCAAAACCTCATCTCACTGGATCAGGTGCCAGGTCACATGAACAAAGCATCAGGTTTGATGGGGACCAGAGGGTATCTGCCAGGGTTCTGCAGAAAAGCACCTGCTCAGCTGCCTGTGGGCTTTTCTATACTACTGCAACAGCACCTTTACATCTCTACCAGAGCAGAGTAATTCCCTAGGTCTGCAGGACATCTGAAGACATTTCTGAAGACCAGATAAGAGGAAGCTGAAAAATTCAGCTTCAGAACCGCACGTGTCTCTGAAACAATAAATGTTTTGAGTGATCAGCATTTCTAGGCAGTGAAACAAATCAGTGTTTCCATTCCCGGGGGAAGTGGGAAGCAAGCAAACTCCATTCCTCTATTCCATAGCATACAGGAAACCTAAGTGATTGATAGCAGCAGTAGGGAAATGCACATTCAGCTTCTATTTCCAATGTAAATGACTTGCCAGCTCACCCCTCTGCTTCCTGTTCCTTCTCAGCACGCCCCCCCCCACACACTCCCACTGATCGATGTAGTGTGTGTGAAGCTGGGAGGAAGAAAGGAAGAAGGACTTGTTAGACTGCTTCCCCCCACCCCAATTTAAATGAGAGATAACATGCAAAACCAAAAGGCAAACAGCTGTTCAGGATTGAGCTCTTTTTGCCCACAGACCCGGGGTGTTGACATGGGGAGGGACTAAGGAATCCTCCAGCACTGCTCCCAGACCCCATCCTGTGTCAGGTGCAGAAGGCCCCTGCTCTTACAAAACATCTCCTTGTATTACAAAGGTCAAAGCAGTAAGCAAAGAGGCTTTTTAGAATGCTGCACACCGTTTGTGGGACCTGCCTGGCTCACAGGGACGCCGAGACACAGCGATTGCCAAGGCAAGAGAAGGAACGCGGCGAACATCCGCTCGCAGGAGGCGTGCCCCTGTTCTTTCCCAGGCAGCTCACTGAGAGGTGCTTATTTTTACAAAGCAGGCTCTGAGATCTTAAAGAACCAATGTTGTCGTGGTGCCCTAAACCAATGAGTATGTGACCTACTCGTTCCCACTCTGTCCCTTGACCTTTTCCCATAGCATTCTCCAAAAGCATCACGTGAAAAATAGCCCTTTCTCAGCTCTCCAGAGGCTTTGGAGACAGCATCAAAGCTCTGTGCTTATAAACAACTCCAGCTAGGCCAAAATGCCATTCCAGCATCAGGGGTCCCAGGATTTGTAAGCCTGTCACAAGGAACTGGAGGGAGAGGGGGCAGGGGAGAGGCAGCATGTGTTGCCAAGAGAAGGGGGAAGCAAGAGCCAGGCAGCTGGAGTGAGAGCTGAGCTCCATGAAAGCCCCATGGGCTGAGACAGGGTTTGCCCACACACCTCAGGGATCTTTTTACCTCCTTCCTTATTACAAATAGCTCTCTGAGCATAGGCTGAAGGATCATTTACCTCATTGACCCCTCAACCTAATTTTCCCATTCTTACACCCTTCTCTCACCTTGCACATCCACTAACACTCCAGCATCCACTCTGGAGGAGAATTTACAGCCCAAGTGAAGACAGAATTCAACAGACTGCAGAGCAGCAGTCCTTGGGCACCAAGATTAGCTATTTGTTGACTCTTCAGGATTTAATAGCAGTTGGCCAACAAATACCTACAGGAATCCCTGTCAACTCCCCTGGTGTCTCACACCATCCCTAGCACACTGCTCCTGCCTTTTGCTGAGAAAATTTCAACTGTTCCCAGTTTTTGTGTTTCCTCATAGCTCCAGATCTAGCTTCCCTTGGCAATGTCTGCACACACTCCTTGAATACCTCCTGGAAAGCAAATGCCTCAGAAGGCACTCCGTAACCGAGTGAGACTTCTCCTCAACCATCACTCTCTTCCTCTGCCTTCAACCCATTCTTCATTTTCCCCTTTATTTGTCCTCCTATTCCTACCACAGGCTACAGGCAAGGCCTCCAGTCGGGCAATCCATAGCAAAGGCTGTTCGATGATTAATTACAGTTCAGGGACCACAGTCCCTTGTTTCAGTGTACCACTGTTACCATGAAAACAGCAACATGCAGGAAAGAAAGGAGATAAGTCCCTTGTAACCACCTACCAGCACGTCACCACTGTGCCTGGAGCTCCAGCACTCCATGGTCACATATTCCGTGGTACAGCCCAGCAGCCAAGGAAAGTCATTTTTATGTCTGGATACGTGAACCAGTGGCAGCGGCAGCCAAGCAGGCTGGTGTTTGTGTAGCTCTTACGTGGCAATAGGGACAATTATTGCCCTCTTGCAGGGCAATAATCTCAGTCCCAACAAGGAAACTGGATAATTAGAGAGAAAAGCAGCAGGCGCTTCAATCATTCCGACCGCGTCAGGTCTTTTTTCAAATGTCACGAAAAGAAATGGTGGGATAATGAAGGCCTGGACTCACTTTCAAAGCACCTGATAGGACAGCCAAGAGGAAGTAACAAGGTTAGGAGGGCTCCATCATCCTTCCTGCTTCCTGGGGACTGACCCTCGAGGGTGGGAGATCTGAGACAGGATGGTGTGATCATAGGATGGCATAAAATAGAAATACAGCCATGTGAGTTCTTTTGCTGTAGATGTTTCCAGTTTAAGAACAAACCTCCTGACTTAACTCTGGTTGATCTTTTTCATTTTGTATTTTACCTGTAGCTCTTCTTCACCATTTTCCCTTTTATATAGCATCAGAAAAGCATTAACTCATGACTTTGTTTCATTCCATTGACATAACTGCTTAAATATCCTTCCTGATGTTTTGACATATATCACTTGGACAGACACTTAGAAATTTAAACCATGGAAGCGGGAGGACATTTTAAAAAATTAGAAAATATGTGGACAATTCCTCTGTTATTTTAACAGTATGAAGACTCAACACTTGTGTAACTCTGCCAGCAAATGCAGGGAAATATGTGCTCACATGGCACAAATATAAAACTGAGCACATGGATTTTTAGACATAAGCCACACTTTTGCTACACACCCTGCACACACGTTGTAAGCCCCATGTTCACAAACACACATTTACAGCACATAAGGCAGGCACAGATTATTTTCAGTGCAAAGCACCTTTTTCTATAGACAACAGGAGCATGTGTACCAAGGGAGCACACATACACTGAGCATGCAAACAAGACATCCATTCATTCCATGTAACAAAATTTAGGTCTACTGAATGAAGAATTGCACCTGTGTATCCATTTAGAATAAATCTGACATTAGCAAATGTACAATTGCTGTGAAAGGAAATAATATATCTGATGCACTCAACAAAACACCCATAATTGTTCAGCCCAGAAAACAGGAAAACAGAACAATCAAACGAAATGACACACACACATAGGCACTGCATGTGTACAGAATGTACACTGGTGAAAGCACACCATCATAAACAAACACACTACTCCCAAAAGACTTATCCATACCCTAATGCTGTGCTAAAATGCACACAGGCAAATCCTTAACCATATGCTCACCTGCACAAATATATATCAGAAGAACAAAATCCCATTGCACGTAATAAGGAGTCCAAAATGCACACTTTAAGAATGAGGAACACACTACACAAATACACAAATACCCAACTGGTGCATAAAAGTGTTATATATGTGCTCCATAGGAGATAATTCATATGTCTTAAGTACAAGCTGGAGATAACAAGCCTAATGCACTGGGGGCTGCATTTTGCCCTGTAGTTCACAGCACAGCACACAGACGTGGGGCTGAGGTCACATCTGGCCCCACACAGGTTCAGTGACTATAGTTCACATGTAGAATCAGATTTTCTCCCAGAAGAAGCACCTGCAATGCTGCTGTAATTGCCCAGAGCCAGCCTAGAACTATATAAGCTACTATGTCTGGACTGCCATTCTGCTGCACCAGCCAATAAGCCTTTTGGAGATTCATTGGCAATTCTGCCATTTTTCCCCCTGTCTAGGGTACTCAAGAATTCAAGTTTAAGGGGAGTAAACTACTGCAACCCTTACATGGGGTGCCCTCCCACCTTACTGCCTCTACACCTGCAGTGGAGGGCAGTCCCTAGCTCCACTACAGCTTGAGTCAGCATCTGAGCAACAAAGCAACTGCTGGAGGTGGGGGATAAAGGCATTTAACTCCCCTATATTGCCCAGATAAGACCTCTGATAATTTTACAGTGAGACTATCGAGTACCTAAACAGGAACAAATGCACCTGATCAAACGCATCGCTGGGCAATGCCAGACCAGCCAGGCAGGACTCCAGCATTCATCAGAAGCATGAGGAAGAACACACTGCTGCATGCCTGAGGCCTAGAGACAGTCTTCCACTTCAGAAAGGTTTGCATACAGAGAAAGCACTCCTATTCCACAGCTTCTGTCCACTACAGGCTAAATGTGAAATCCCAGTGACCAGCCTGCAGCTTGAACACCAGACTCTGCTTCAGCTGCTTCACTTTCCACACCCACTCCAGACACCCAAAAAATCCCGTGGTATGTGATCATGTCATCTATTGCAGCTTGTTAAGAATGCCTGAGCTAAACTCACCATAAAGGCTTAGAAACAGCATGTTTGCTCCTGCTTCCAGAAATGTCCATTTCTCTCTACTGTGATGAAATCTAGACTTGCTTAGATACAGCTGTCCACGTTAAGTGACACAAAAGGCCATCCACGTCTCTCCTTTGGTCCTCCATCAGGGAAATGGGACTCAACATCGCTCCATTAGCTCTGCCAAAACTTACAGTCTCTCTAAACACTGTGAACTGCACAGCACCACACGTGGAAAAGGATCTCATCCTGCTATCACAGCCCAGCCTGATGGCAGAGCAACAGGGTAGACAGCACTTGGGTTCTGCCTCATCCCTCCCAAATGCCTCTGACCAAGCAAAAGCTGTGGAAATCCAGAAAAACAGGAAGTATCTTTTTTTCTCCAGGTGCTCTATATGGTGAGTAGAGGTAACCGAAAGAAAAACAAAACAAATCAGGAGAGACTAATGAATAAAAATAACAGACTCTCTGCTTTTCTTCTTGTAATTTCCCCACCCCAGACAGCTGTAATGTGGAAAGTATTGAAATTTAAATCACACCTCAGCCTAACCTCAGCTGACAGGCTGCCGATGCAATAATCTCAGCCTGGCTATCTTCTCTCAGGGAGAACGACAAACCAACTAAAACAAAGTGATAAATTTTCAATTTTATTTTAAAATATACCAGATGGGAGATTTTATTTGAGTCATAAATATGTCAAAAGCAATGTTGGCATATGATTGGAGATTGCCCCCACCAAGGGAACAGCTCTCCTTGTTTAGAAGTGCTATCAGATTC